TTTTTGATAAGAAACAAAATATGTGTATTCAAAACAAGAAGGCCCCTAAAAGGGATACAAACAAAAGGCGGAGGGTAGAGCTAACCCTCTCCAAAGCTCTATACAATCACCGCTTTCCAATCTTGTGTAAGCAAAAGAAGATTGTAGTTACAAAAAACTTTCTTGTGTAGTAAAGCCCGCCAAGAAGCTAGATGCTTAATATTCACACAAAAAGAATCTAACAAAATCAACTTATCTTCAAAAAGCCGACTATTCTGTTCCTTCCATATCGACCATAAAAGAGTCCGGGCCGCACAATTCCAAAGAACCCAAGCTTTGCCCTTGAGCTGCCTTCCTCCATAATCTTCAGCAATGAAATCCTCAATTCTTCTAGGAATGCAGAGAGAGAAATCTAGCAAAGAAGCTATAAACCCCCAAACTTTTGGAAACAAAAGGGCAATGGAGAAATAGGTGGTCCACTGTTTCATTGTTGCTCATACACATTGCACACAGAGGGAGATAGATTCCAATGAGGTAATTTCCTCTCAAGTTTATGCAGTATTTACCCCTCTATAGAATAAAGTCCAAATGGAGAATTTTAGGGACTCTAAAATTTCGTATCAAGTTTTCTGTAGCTGAATTAAGTTTAGAAGAAGGGGACGTGAGAGCCATGAAGGCTGAATTGACTGTGAAACGGCCGGAGGGGTCCGCTTTCCACCATAAAATGTCCCTTCCATTTCCGATAGCTGTACCTTCTATTTGTTCAGTGAAGTTTGCCCATCTACTCATTTCCCCTATTTTTCAGTAAAACACACAAAATAACAATAAAAATGTCAAAGCTGTTTGTTAAGAAGGTGCTCAATAATGATAAAAAAGTCAAAGGCATATGATAACAATCGTGCTTAACCAATAAATTTTCTGTTGTGGGATTGCCTAGCTTCTTTCTAATTGTTTATATTAAAGGTTATGAAGGTGTTTGGCTTTTGGTTGTTGATGGAAGACAAAATTATTTGAGCAAGTCTCAAGATTTTCAGCGTTGGCTAAATTAGCAACCAAGAATACGACCTAGTGATCCTCCTCTTTCTAAGAAAGATATACCATAGCCATGATAGCTTAGATAATGCGAAAATGTTTATTTAAGTATTGCTAATAAACACCAGCAAATATTCTTCATTCTGTTGCTTTTGCTTAAAGGTGCTAAAAATGTTCGTTCTCTAGTTGGTTATCAAGTAAAGAAACAAAACTATATAGTTCATAGATAAAATCCCAATAAATCTGTACTTTTCAGTATTTTGGAAGTCTTCACTTTCATGTTTGATGTAGAGAGGTGTTCCTGGATTTGCGCATTTTCTGTGGTCTTGTGAAGTCTTAGTTTACTGTTTATGATCTAATAAAGAGTTCTTTCACTTTATAGTTACAATTAATTACTTGTAACATGGGATTTCGTTACATTGGAGTTTGGACATGCTAGGGATTTTAGCAGTTTTTTGATTCGTTTGATTTTTGTTGTGTTAATCTTATGCGTTTCTTGTGGTGATTTTTTTTTCCAATGAGATGGGATACTTTTTTGTGATTATTGAAATCCTTCATATCATAATTAACGACTGTGATATTCCTATTGCTCTTCTTCCACTGAGTTTGTTTTGTGTTTCATATTTCCATAAACGTTAATCAATATTTCTTACATCTCCTGCAGATATACTCTTACCAGGGTGTCTATAATGAAGACTACAACGTAGCAAATACACCAGCACCTAATGGTAAATCTTGTGAAAGATGTCTTGATGATTGCGGCTATTTATGAAAAGGATGAAATTTTGTTTTCTTAATTCTCATTGGAGAAAAATCTTGGTCTCATTCATCGAAAAGGAAAGCTTTAAAATTCAATTTTGATCTTGATTTTTCATATTTTAGTTTGGTCCCTAAATTTTCATGAATTTTCTCATCTATTTAATAAAATTTTCAAGTCACCCAATTTTGAACTTGATAACAGACCTAATATGTGTGACTTAAAACATAAACTGGCTGGGTGCCATGTAATATGCCACAAAAATTATGCGACAAGAATCAACATAGATTCTATGTAACTGAAGGATGAAAATTAACCATTCGAAAGGATAAGAATCAGCAAAACAAGGGTGGAAGTTAAGATTCGAAAGAGAATTTAAGTCGAAACAAAATTCTCTCAAAATGTTGATATGTTGCCTGTTATTTGCTCTTGACAGACCCACCAGCTAGCACTCCTGCTGTGGTCACTCAGGATGACGTTGGCGAGGAGGAGGAGGATGATGAGCCTTCATTGAATGAAGACGATGATGACGACGACTTGGACGATGTGGATCAGGGAGAGGAGTTGAGCACACAGCATTTAGTTTTAGCTCAGTTTGATAAGGTACTTCTTCACTCTTGGTTGGTAGGTGCAGGTGTAGCATATGCTAGAGAGCATCTTCAGAAATCAGAATCCAGCATGCCATAAAATATTTGCTCTTATATTCTCATAATGTAATGCACCTAATATTTACCGTATAATATACCTTTTTGGGATAGGTTACTCGTACCAAGAGTAGGTGGAAATGTACACTAAAGGATGGAATCATGCATAT